GGCGGAGGAGGCTTGCTTGAGATCCGCGTGATTAGCAGCCTCTAATTTAACCCTGAGTGGTGCTACAGCGGCTGTGGAGTCACCTCCGCCCTCCTCCAGCACAAATCAGGCCCACTCGAGGTGCGGCATGTCAGCGGGCGCGCCGAACACACCGGGGGGGGGTTCTTTGGGGGGGGGGGGTCGGGCTGTATCTGACACAGCGGTCGGGGCAGGCACTTCTGACAGAAAGCGGAGTGGTATAATCAGACGCCTCGCCCGAATCTGCGCGCCTAATGGGTGGCACTGGCTCCGCCGTGTCAGGCCCTCTCCTCAGCTCGCCTCAAGTGCTCCCTCAAGTGTTTATTCTGCATTAGCGCAGCCTGCCGGCGGCGTCCGGGGCTGGGGGAGCAACGGGCGGACGTCACATCTCGGTGGCAGCGAGACGAGCCGAGGCCACCGGGACCCGTTTGCAGACGCGCGCGTGCAGTCAGCATCCCGTAGGGGTGACGCTCTCAGACAGCGACGCAGGACGGTGAGGATGTACGGCCTCCGCGGGGGGCCGCGTCAACACCCCATCCTCCTTGCAGACGGGAACACTGACAACGTTTCTGCTGTAGCCAGACCGGAAAAAAGGCACGGATCTCTGGGGCTGGACGCTGAATTCGACAGCCATCCAGCCCCCCCTCCCCCATTTAGCCGGATGGCCGGTGGTGGGGGGGCTCAGCAGAGCAGGGTAAACGTAAGAATGTAAAAACACAGTGCTGCGGGTTTGCATCTACGGTTTCCTCCTGACTGCAGGGGCTCAGTAAAAAAACTGAGAGCATAATAACTCGTAATTAGTAATTCCCCTTTAGACTTTTAATTACCCCGTACGTGTGGATGGAGGGTACTGCTCACAGCTGAATGTCAGGTATGAAGAATGCAGGGATGCCTGGGTATTATATGCGATGTGTGTCCAATGCACACTGTACATATTAAAATGCAGCCCCCCACTCCGACAGGGGGAGTCAAGGCTGACGGTTTCCTTGTTGTTCGTAATTATGATTCCCGGTGCAGATTTGAGACAGCAGACAGCGTCTCTCTCTCTGTCGTGGCAGGCGCATGTAATCTGCATTGTTCCACCGCGACGCATGCGGGGGAGGGGCGGGGGGGGTCAGGATATCTCAGCCCACGGTGCCTCCATCAGGCCTGTCAGGGGGCTTGCAGGTCGCCCGTCAGCACGCCGGCGAGCGGAGCGACACGCCTCCAATCAGCGGCGCCTTCCCCGGCAGCGGCGGCGTCGAGGAGCCGCGAGGAATGAAAGCGCGCTGTCTGCCGTCTGCCAGGGCGCGGGCGGGCGGGTGAGCTCGCGGGGCACGGTGGGCGCCTGCAAAATCCGGAAACTGCTATATTTGGCCGGCCCGGATGGCGGGAAGGATGCGATTGGTTTCGGGCGCAGCGCCGAGCCCGAACAGCACGCCGAATGTGAGACGACGCGCGGCCTTCGGCTTCCCCCAGCCACGCTTTGATGTTGGGCTTTGTTCCTCATATTAAGTTCCTCCCTCTTCCCCCCTCAGGAATTACACCCAGGGCATCGTCGAGCGCTTCCCAGAGAGCGAGTCCCCAAAGAAACCCGGCAGGGGCCTGCGGCAGAGCAGCCTTCCCCACGACCCGCCGCAGCCGCCACCTACCAGCGGCTTACAGCGTTTGTGTGCTGCAGCGCCAGCAGCATTTCCATTCCGGTTCCTTTGCGAGGCGGCCCCTCTAAACCACCGTGACATCGGGCCCCCTGACGCAGCGAATAGGGAGTGAACTCCACCGACGTCCTGTATCCCCTTTCTCAAAGCTATCGGATTTTACTTCATAGTTTCAGCAAATTGTGAAAAAAAAGGGCTGTGATCTTAATTTTATATGGTCACATGGTTATTAAGGTTAGGGTTTAACTGTAATCCGAGGTGCCAAAATCCTTTTTTGGGATCAAGTTTGCGTTCGTGTCACAGCTCCGCGCTGGGGCAGCGTTCCTGTGATGTCACAGAAAACGGACCCGCTGAAGGTGAGCTTACAGTAGGGGCGATTCCCCCACACAGGGACAGTACGCTGTGTGTCAGTGAAGATCTCGATCTCAGTGAGGTAAAGTGCTGGTCACTGGGGAGGGGAGCGTGGCCGTCTCACCAGGGAGAGTCATGTGACCGGGGCTATTCGTGTTAATCCTCCCCACCTGGTCGTTCATGTTTACCTGGTATAAAGCTGTCCAGCTGGTTTTCCATGCCCCGCCTCTACACTGTGTTGGCCACTCCCCTAATAACCAGCTGCCTCATGTTCCACCACTGGGTCACGCAGTTTTCTCACCATAGGTGACCCACAGCATGCTGTCACATCTGAATTCTGATGGGACTCCTCAGGAACCTTATTCAGCACCTCTCACCTCCAGGAGCCATAGTCCTGGAGGAGAGGTGCAAGTCCTTACTTCCACCCCCCCCCCCCCCCCCAAAACAAGGCAGACTCAGAAACCCCAGCTTCTGCAAACCTCAATTTTGCTGCATTTCAGGACTTATCATTAACCCCTAATTATCTAACTGGCATGCCCACGTAAATATTGTCTGCTATTGGAAGCTGCATGGCAGCTGATTGGACCACAGACTGGCAGGGGGCGGGGTTTGGTTTCACATTGGACCAGCCCCCATTTGGTAAGCCTATGGCAATGAAGTCATAGATCCTGGGTTTTAGGAACAAATCCGGTTTGGCTCCTCGGGTTAGCATGCGGCTCAGGTGTCAGAAACCGGGCACTTCTCGTGTGTCCGCAGACGGCAGAGAAATCAGATGGTTCAGAGGGCCGCACGGGCTGGACCTCCAGTGGTCTGCTAAGCATCCTGCGAGCTAAAGCCTTCTATTCCCCTGAAAGTATTTAGAGAATGATTTCATTCGTCTGATTGCTCAATCAGATTTAACGCAGAAAAAACAGTGATGGTGATTGTTCATTACGCAGCTGAGTTAATCAGCGTGAAGTGGCCTGTCACCACAATCGCACACCCAGCGAGAGTGACTGCCTGCCTGCCTCCTTCTGCGTTCGCTCTGATTAAACAGAAGCAGCATGCGGCATTTAAATCCCGAGGTTAATCCCGTGGCACCCAAACCCTCATAGGGCCGGACAGACCGGGCCCGGCAGCCGCTTGACCTGAGGTACGGGTCCACGATGAAAACAAGGAAATATCCCAGGATAAACTCAGCATCCCAGCTGCACCATGGGACATCCTGTGTTAAAGATGCTCTGATTACAGATTATATGAGAGCCCCACCGTCTACAGGAGAGTTAAGCAGGAAAACCTGAGGCTTTAATGAGCCGGGAGAGTTACAACTACCCCAAGGACACGGGTCCTCACTGCGCACCCTCTCTCACACACAAGCCGGATTACACGCAGGCCCTGTTATACAAATGACGTCGGGCCGTAATGCGCACTTAGTGACAGCTGTGATGTAAAACAGGGGTTGCTGTGCAGCTCGGCGGCTTACGATGCTGTGACGTCACTGCTGGGCTCCTGAGCAAAGGCCTTAACCCCAGTCACTTCATGAACCGGTTGATCCTGCTTTCAGCATTTCGTGTTGGATAAAGGATTCGCCAAATAAAAATAATGCAAAAAAAAAGTAAACTGCTGTTTGTTTAGCCACTCGAAAATATCTCGGCGAACCCTTTACCCACCTTCACCGTACTGAAATGCAATATTTACTAAAACAGTACAAGGCTACTGCTGTTCACCAGGGTCCAACAGCAAGAACCCCCGAACATTTGAGGTACGAGTCCGTCCTCTCAGCCGCTGCACCACCTGCTGGTCTCTAATCCTGTGCTTTGGAGAGGGGAGGGGGTGCTATTGCCTAGTCACGTTCTCCGGAAAGTTCATCCGCTGCGCTAATATTTGCAGCATTAGCCTGCAGACGTCCTCACGCCGCTCGCCCTCATTTGTTACGACGCGAGTTCCTACGGGGCTTTTCTTTTCTCGGTCCCTACCGCATTTTGCAGGCTGCTGCCATGGTTTCCAGTCCACACCGGTAACTGGTTCAGCATAATAACGTGGGGAGCGACATTTCTGTGTCTGCTATTAAGGGAAGGAGGATTCTCGTCCAAAAAAAGAAATCTGCCACGAAAACAATAACAGAGAGGAAGGGAAACGTTTCACGAGTGGCTTCGCTGGCCTTGGAAGAGGCACAAGAACTCGGATTTAGGGACTTGAGGGAAATATAATTTTAAACTGATCAGAAAAAGCTGTTACCAGATCCACCGCGGTGCTGGGAGGCTTTCGTGCCGACGATATCAAAAACCTGGACGGCTCACACACAGCCAGGGAACCGCCGGGGCTAAAAATGGATATCGATCCGTATCCTAATTTCAGCCATACCTGAACGCTCTGATCGATCACGAAAACAAAATCATTTTTAGAGGCAACGTAAAAGATTTACGGTAATTGTTTTGAAGATTACCCCCGTTCCGGAAGACAAGCCTGCCTCACGCGTGCGGTTTCCTTGCGTCGCCTGGGCAAGCAGAGCAGCAAGGTTGATACGGACGTTAGAGACCGTCTACAAACGGCCTACAAACAATCACGTAACACGCAGAGCAGCGCCGGCGGGGTCGACCACAGAGGAATAACCTTCCTCACACGCTTAATTCTCCTGCGTGTCAGCTAGAGCAGCCCAGGCTTTTTTAGAAAGATCATTGTTATTGAAAAACCTTGATTCTGATGCAGGGTCCAGACATAGTGGAGTTTCGATACAGATCGAGCTGTATGACCGGTTACATATACTGCAAATGGGGTTATTTAAATGTAAATGTGGGGGGGTCATTTTATGATCCATGTGATTCCCATGTTCCTACAACTTCTGGTAATGTGGCCCGTGCCCCTCTAAAGAGTTCAGCTTCCCTGCACCCCCTGGTCCTCAATGTGGGGGGGGGGGGGGAATCCCCAGGGGGGGGTTGGGAAAAAAGGGGGTTAAACTTAACCCAAAAATTTTGGGCCCCCCCCCCCCCCGTAGGAAGCGGGGCCTCAATGGGGCTGGCGGGCCTGTGTTTGGACCGCAGTGTGCACTCACCTAGATCTCACCAGTCAGACACTCCACATATTGCCCAGAATTCCACAGCAACAGAGCATCAACATTCCGGAGGGGGGTGGGGGGTGGTGGTGCTAATCCAGCTGAGGTGAGGTGGCTTCTCGGGGCAGCGGGGGATCTCCGTGTGCCGCCTGACCAGGGAATGAGGCGTCAGGAAAAGGCAGAGAGGAGAAGAAGTGCCCTGTGAATATGGGAAACCAAAAGAACACACGATGGTGGCAGAAGACAAGCTTTGATTTGTGTGTGTATATATAGACACACACACTCACACACACACACACACACATATGCATACGGTATATATGTGAAATGGACCAGCATGGTGTTTATGATGCAGACGCCCGACCGCATCTGTGAAGCATCTCGGCCCCGACGCTGTTGCAGGGCATCATCGATCAATGTGGACGTGACGGTGTGAGACAAAGAGAGCTCGTGAAAAGTGGTTCACAGGGAGGCTAATTGTGGCTACTTTGATATCTGCTTTGATATCGCCATGGCGAT